TTCCTCCACTTCCAGAAGAAGATCACCCACATAAGGATTTTAAACAGTTTCACTGTAAGAGTTAACCCAGGTCAGCTTTTGTTGATACCACTTCCATGGGAAAACTCCGTGTTATCCAAGTCTGGCTTGCTGCAGATTGATCTTCTTGGGAATTCACCATCAGGGCTTTTGAAATCTCTATGTTTCCATTGCGGTTTTGATACCATGGCCGGGTATTGATTGTATTATCTGAGCTGGTATCTGCTTTGGCTGCTTAGTGTTTCACTGTGGATATTTTAAGCCCTTTCTGAAAAAAAGAAGAAACCAGGTGTTGTTTGACTGTCCCCTTCTCTGTATATAACAACTCCTTGTGTGGCAGCGTTCTAGCCACGACCTGATACTTTACTGTGTGAAAAGAAGAGCACCAACAGGGATTGCCTGGACATCAAGCTCAGCACTTTGCTATTCTTCTTCAGAAATACCCATCACATGCTGTTTTAAACTAGTGCCACAGAATCCCATTGCTCCTGTATATTGAGACATGTTTTCAATGGCCAATCTTTTGCACTAAGAGAATGTAGCAGGATCAGACCCAAAGGGAAAGGACAGAGCTCAGGGAGTGAAACCCAGTGCAAGGAACTGCTTCCCATTGATGCTTTTACTGGGCTACAGGAGGGAGCATTTGCTAGATCAGAGAAAATGAACCCTTGGGTTCAGTATAGAAGGTAAGAGACACAGCATGTGGCCTGGGGACTAGGGGTCTGTATAGAAATGAAATAGTCATGTTCCTGCAGCTTTTAATCAAAGTGCATACAAAACATTGCCAGACCCCTTTACCTCTGGTCCAACGCGCAGCTCAGGATAAGGGACCCTTCATAGAGTCCCTGACTTTTGTCATGCCCATTTCTGATGATCCTTGGTCATAACCATTTGCAACCTTTAGTCCCATTTCCACCCCACTAATACTGTAGGAAACCAGTGTCCTTTCTTTAGCTGTCCTTAGAGAGAACATAGAACAACCCCTCTCATTCCCTCCCCCTCTGAGGTCAAGAGAGAACAGCCTACCAAACCTTATTCTTGTATCCATCCCTCAAATCCCTCTGATCCACTCCTAAGAGGAGAGAACTGCCTCCCAAACCTCCTTTATGGGCAGATTGGGATCCTGTTTGAACATGGATGGGCTCAGCAGTGGCTGTACTGGGATTGTGTTTGAATACAAGCTTAGCAGTGGCTGTACATTAGCAAGCAGAGACCGAGGTGTGCCCTCAGGATCTATAAGGTTATATATATATATGTGTGTGTGTGTCTATATATATATATATGCCATGTTAATTTTATTCTGAGAGGCCATATAAGAGCAGACTTTGAACATCTGTGTGTACTCAGAGGCAGGTCAGTAGGTCTAAAGCCACCAGGGATCTGCTGGGAACAGAAATACAAGTAGGTGCTGCAGCAGTTGTGGCAGTGCCCGATGGGGAATGAGGAAATGGAAGGGGAAATGACCAGACATGGTTATCTGCTTCTGGCACGTGATGCTGCAAGTCAGCAAACTTGTGTGAAATCCTGAGGAAACAGCAAACAGCCATTGTCACCCCATTTTGGGGCAGGCGGGAACAAATGTCCCCTGAATAACAGCAGAAATACTCTCTTTTCTGTGAGTTTCTCTTTCTGTGAAAAGAGGCAGATTTATGACTGGGTGTGTATTGCAGTGGGACTCTTGAGGGGTCACACAACTGTTTCACCAGGAAGAAGAGTGACACAACAGCTCAGTTGCTTGTCCTGAGACTCTGCTTCAAGGTAAGCTCTTACTCCTTTCTCACCATTAACTGCAATATCTCAAGTGTCTCTTTAGCTTCAGGATAAATACATCAGACAAAGCGTGGGCTGCAGTTGCTGAGCTCTAGCATCCACCTTCCAAGGAGAAAGTGAGAGGTTTTGCATGCACTGTATTTTGCAGCTCTTTATCATTTTATCTTAAGGAGGGCAAGGACAGAAAGAATAACTTGGGAAAGAAACTCAAGAATAGAAAAGCAAAGATCTGGAGAATACAAGAGAGACACTCAGAGGCAGAAGAGACTGGAAGAAGCTTGGAAATTGTCACCACATGAGCTAATAATCCCTGGTCTTTGAAAAAATGATAAAATCAGGTGGGATCCAGGAAAAAATACCACTTTTAGTGATGCTCAGATCAAAATCTCAAAGAAGGAACGCTATTTCCAAAGGGAATAAACCACCCCACGATGAACTGGCACTCCCAGAAGCTGATGCCATTAGATCTGAAGCCCTCAGCAGCTCTGGCAATGTGCCACTCATCTGGAAATGTCACCAAAACCTGGTGGGATGCTCTGTGGTGGTGTCAGTGTTCCTGCTGCTCACCTTCTGTCCCAGCCAGATGTTACACCTGGCCAAGGATGCTTCAGGGAATGATCAGCATGGGAAACGTTGGGAAGAGATGCACAAGGAGATGCCTGATGGTGAACTGAGATGTCTGAATGTAGGAAGACAGATTCTGTCTCACTGTGGTTTTTTAATCATTCATCTTGATGATTGCAATTTCCCCTGCTTGTCTTGGACATCATTTTGCAGATGGATTATTGCCCAAGCTCCAGCAAAGTCTTGTTCAGCTAAGAGTGAACACCAGGCATTGGTTGTATCTGATGCACCAGGTACAACCAGGCATTGGTTGTCTCTGAATGCTCCTTCCTGCTGCACAGGAGTCTGACAAAGCTTGTACAAGATGTACTGAAGATGCTGGGTGCAGAGTCCCCTCCTGCTCTAAGGGTGGTTACTGCAACCAGACACTCCTGTACACCCTTATCTTATGCATTACTTCCTGCCAATTACAGCATGCACCAAGCAGATGGGAGTTGGGTTTGAACCCTCTTCCAAGTGCCACATTGGGAAAGGGTGGGTCTAAGGTCTTATTTTGGTCTATTGACAGAAGTTTATCTCCCAGCTGTTGAGAAGACTTGATTCAAGGCCATCAGAACTAACCACACAACACCTTGTCTAATTACATTTCAGTTGCCAAGTCACCTGGAAAAGTCACATCCAACTCTTGAATAAGGGAGGGCGGAGAGGAAGGTTAGTGAGTGCCATAACTCCATCCCTGACCTTGCAAAAGACCTCGGGAAAAACACGTGTCCTGGCTCCAGCCTTGGATAAACTGACTCTAACCCTTGTTTGAGAGGTCTAACAACTCTGCCTTCTTGGAGATCATATATAAACCACCCTGAGGTCACAGCCAGCTTCAGACTGTAGCAGAGGCATTTGAACGTCCTGTACCACTTTGGGGCTGCAGGCAGAGCCCTGTGAATAAAGTCTTTACGTGCTGCTCTTTCACACGGTAGGTTGGTTTCTCTGTATCTGTTATTAAGTTAGTTAGGTGTATTTTAAGCTCATGGAGGGGGTGGTGGAAAAGAAGGACTTTTCAGTAACTTTTCTGCCTGATTTAGGGCAGATACAGTCATGCTCTGCAGAGCATTGTAATAAGCCACTTCTTGTGGTTTGCTTTTCTCAGTTATCAGCTTGCTTGTCATCACGTTCCTTATCCAGGACTAGTAAAGAGGTAAGGTCCAGATGTCTTGGTCAGAGCAAGGGTGCATCTACATCAGTGTCCAATGCAAATTAATAGATGAGGGTCAGGGAAAAGAAGAAGAGAAGAGTAAATGTGCAAGGTGACTTTCCAAGCCTTCAGTAGTCCTCAGCTCAGCCACTTCCCCAGCCAAAGGTGGGGTTTGTGTTCTAGATGCCATTTGGCAGCTTTCTCACCCATGAATCTTTTTAGGGGCTTGTCCTGCTTTATTGGAAATGCTCGTTATTTTAAAGCTACTCTGTCAAATGCCTAGCAAGGAAAATGGAAATATCACTGTTACCCCAAAGCATCAGAAAGAAGACAAAGCACCCTGCATCGCTGCCAGCATCACAGGGAATTTCTCAGCAGTTCTCTCCAGAGACAAAGATCTTGCTGACTGCTGAAAATCATGTCAACACCCAAGAAGGACAAAACAGGACCTGCTTCTGCTGGAGAAGGAGAAATTCCTGCACCAGTGCCTTTTACAGCACAGGGAAAAGCAATCAGGGAAGCTAAAGATGTGGATCAGGAGGAATCCTGTGCAGCCGTGGGAAGAGCTGCCCCTTGGTGTCTGCATTGCTACAGCAACAGGCAGAGTGCTGATGAGATACAGGCGTCATCCCTCGTGCTTCCCTCATCCCCTTCTCCTTCTGTATCCGTGTATCTGCAAGTTCATTACTTGGGGTTGGACACCCTGAAAATGCAACCTGGGGTGAAAATGGCAGCCAGGACCCCAGGCTGGACCACTTCGGGTTAAACATCTGACCTAACTATAGGGGAGATTAATCCTGTTGTGAGCACAGAGGAGTTGCAGAAGAGCAGAGTATCTGTGTGAACTTGGATGGGACCAGAGACATGTAGGATGTGCAGCATTGCTGTTATTTCCCTTCCAAATCCCCCATGAGACTAGATTCAGCTCAGCATTGCAGGTGGCTGAGCAGAGTACGTGCCTGGCTGCAGGTCCTCTGCTGGGAGCAGGTCCTCAGAGCAGAAGGGAGTGAGGTGGTATTCTGAAACAGGGGCTTCCAGCCCTATTTCTGCAGTGCTAATACAAAAGTTCAGCTCTTGGCCAACACAGGTAGGTTGGAAAAGGTGGCTTTGTCCCAACACCACGCCTCAGTTCCCTAGAAAGGTTTGCTGTGTGACCTGATTAGACATGGGATGGGTTTGGATCCCTCCTCAGACAGGCTAAATTCTCCCTCTGCTGCCTCCTCTAGGCACCTCAAACCTATTTTAGACTTCAACCTCATTCCCCTGTTGACGTTTCCACATCCAGGAGGGGAGAAGTTGTCCCCTTCTTGTTCTCTCATAGTCCTCTCCTCTGCCTGCCATGTCCCAGAGGCACAAGAACTGCTCCAGGCCATGATGAGCTTTCTCCAGGCTGAGTGTACCTCTGCATTTGCCCTCCAGGTGAGCAAGAGCCCCTTCGCTTGAAGTCCTCCCCGTGATGCTGTTGCTGCTGCTGCTGCTGCAGGTCTTGGCGAGCTGCCTCTGGCTGGGACACAGCGAGGTGGTGACATCCTTTCAAAGATCATGCCCTCAGTTTTTCTTCCGGGAAACCCCCCCAAATGAAGCCCTGGAGCCGGAGAACCCAGCCTGGATCTGCCAGCGTTACAAGAACCAGTATTACTTTGCCACCCTGTATGACAAGAGCAGGCGCATTCCCGTGTACTCTGCTTACCTCTACCAGCCTGCATCTGGCAAGAGACCCAACATATGGCTGGTTGAGCCCCAGGTGAGTGTCTTCTCTTACAGCACATCACCCTACAGTCATTAAGAGATCAACTACAGCATTTAAACAAACCCTTCCTTCTCCTCCCACCACCCCACACACATGCAAACCAACCCACTGAATGGGATTCGTCTTATCTAACTTCAAACACCTTCACTACACGATTCCTCTGGTGCATCTGAGGCATCAGCAGGAGGATGAGATGAGTCACATCCTAAAAGTGCCCATTTTGCCACATCGACCTCTTAGGAACATTAAGTCGAATTATGTTACATTACATTACATTACATTACAAAGTCAAATGACTCCTGTCCCATACTGTGGTGGGGGACCAAGTGATGGGGAAAAGACACCCAACAGCAGCTAAATGTTGGGATGAACACTGCTGGGCTCCAATCTTCACCCTGAGCTGTTTTGCATCCCCGACATAGCTTATTTGCTCCCACTTAAGAGTCATTCTGGCTTTGTAATTGGCATGAGAGAAATGCAGAGAAACTCAGAATGGGGTGGGATGACCCAGTGAAAAAGTCTAGGACCAGGCTCTCAGCACTGAGAGGGTTTGGTTAACACTGCAGGAATGTATTGAGTGATATTTCAGGCAGTGAGGAGTGAGTAAGAACCAGGATCAGTCGAGTCAGAAGTGCACGATCTCCATCCACCTGTAGTTGCCACTTACCACCGTTGCCTCAGGCTTGGTTCAGAAGGATCCACGGGACACAAAGATCTCTGCAAACTACAAAGCCCTCCCAGACGTGGTTCTAACTTCTAACAGACTTCAGGCCTTCAGTAAAAAAGCCCAAGCAAATTACAGAGCAGAAGAAGAGGAAAGTCAGGTCATTGCTCAGGACACAGTAGCAGTAGGGAATTTAGGTAAAAATGAGCCACAGAAGACAGACACATGCCCTATTCCAGGGAGAGGCTAAATGTATTTCCTTAAATATGAAAAGGTGTTATAGTTATGAAAGAAATCATTTGCACTTGTTACTCATAGGAACTCAAACAGCTAATATGGTACTGCGACCACTGCAGCCTCCACATCTGGGGGGGATAAACCTTCTCCCTTCTCCTCCCGGACCACGGTGTGAGGCCATCTGTGGAATGTGTGAATTAGTTCATTTCCGTCAGAGGTTTTACACAGTGTGTATGTTCTCTTGGGGGATTATGAGCTCCTTTAAGAGGCTGATCCTTCCCAACTTGCTTTCAGTGCTGCTGCAGAAGGAGCACATCTGTTCTCCCCGGCCCACAGCAGCTCTGAGACACAGTATTAGCCCTGCAGTAGCAGATCCCACTTGCATTGAGGTATTTTTTGCTTTCTGAGTGAAAAAACTTCATCCTTACGATGCATTATAGTCCTTCCAGGGAAAACCACCTCTAGGATTGGTTTCCCAACACATCTCCCTGTGTACGGGCTTAGAGGAGGCAAACACTGGTGCTTCAGGAGTGCAGTACTGCAGCAACCACACATAGTTCAAGTGAGGGGCAAAGAGGAGGAGAAGAGGCTGAGTCCTTCTTATCTCCCCCATGGAAGGCTCTGTGGCTCTTCTGCTCATCCTCAACCCATCCTGTCCACCTCCAAAGACTCCCTAAGACACCCAGTCTTCAAAGAGGGCATCTGTGTGTTTGTTTTACCTGAGCTCATAAAACACCAGGGTCTTGACACATTGGGTTAAAAAAGGCATGAAAACCTTTCACAGAGACTGAGCAAAGGAGCAGGGCTGATGCTAGTGTGATCAGATGCGGGTGATGAAGGTTGGATGTGATTAATGGGGGTGAGAGGCCCTGGGGAAAGCCCTGGGCAGATGTGGGATGTAGAGATGGAAGGAAAGGGAACCAGATGTGGCAGAGGAGATGTCTCACCCACATCACCTTTCAAACCTGGAGTGGAAAATGCTCATTGTGTCGTGCATCTACCCACAGCCCCAGGCTGGATTTCAAAGGTCAAAAGTCAAATCAAGAGCAGCCAAATTCTGAGCTGTGTTCATCAGGGGGTCACAGCTTCATGATTTCTCTCAGATTCAGGCACTTTCATACACTGAAATGACAAGAAATGAGTGCTCAGGACTCAAAGACTTCTGCTTCAGAGAAACCTACTCCATCATTCCCAATACTAACCCCTTTTCCTCTTCTTTACGTCTCAAGCTGATTGACACAACTTATCCCAAAACTATGGAAAAAGAGCAGACCCTCTTGAATGATTATAGCATCAGCTTAGAGGAAGTCGGTAAGCACCAGGCTGTCTACCAGGATTATAAGAACCTGACAGGTTTGAACCGTGGCCATTTGAACCCCAACAGCCATCACTCAGACTCCAGCAGCAGGACGGCCACCTTCACCCTAACCAACATCGTGCCCCAGAATGAGAAGCTCAACGGCGGCGCCTGGAACAACTACGAGCAGCAGACGATGATGAGGAACACCGAGGGCTGTAACACCACCTATGTCGTCGTGGGTGCTGTGCCTGGGAACAACTACATCGCCAAGGGGAGGGTGAATAAACCCAGCTACCTCTGGGCGAGTGCCTGCTGCGAGGTGGACACCAACCACAGGAAGACTTGGGCTGTCATTGCGGAGAACGACAGGAATGAGGTGCAGCTCCTCACGCTGGGGGAGCTGGAGGACGAGTTGACCGAGCTCTATGGGAGGGAGCAGGTTTCTTTGTTTGACAGTGGTTGTCCCCGGGAATAAGCCCCACTTCGCATTCCAAGTGTAAAAGGCTCCAGAGCTTTCTCCACATGCCCTGTGCAGCATCCATCCTGCTTCCTTCCCCAGTGGTTTTCCAGCTCTGTCTCTTAGAGCACCTCGTTTGATAAAAGCAAGAAAGAGATGAGCTGCCCACGCTTGGAGGGAGCTCTTAGGAAGGAGTCCTTGCCCTGGCCACTCCGGAGGGACAGGCTGGATAACAGCCCCTGGGCAAGGAGATCAGAGCTTCTCACTGAGACTGGAAGGGCTTTGCCTTTTTCCCCCCTTTATCTCCATGCCCATATACAGATCATTGCTCTTTCCAATCCTCATTAGATATCACTGGTAGTGTGCTGCTGACTTGTCCCTCACCTCCTTAGGAAGCGTGTGGGACAAGGGCAGCTCAGGTTGCCCAGAGGGGTTGTGGAGTCTCCATTGCTACTGATACTCAAACCCAGCTAGACACGGTCCTGCATGAGCAGGGGTCTGGACTAGAGAGGTCCATCCAACCTCAATGATTCAGTGATTCATCCTGGGACAAGGAAAGCAAAGAGCCCAAGGATTGCTGAAAGTCTGTAAGGATGATCCTACAAATGCATTCTGACTAGTAGAGCAATGGTAATAGCAAAGGATAAAGGGAGAGAGGAAGGTGAAGAAGTAATACAGCCAAGCATAGGAGCAGCACCTCTTGAGGTCTGTATATAAATAAAACATGGAGAAAGAAGGAAGTAACCTACATCTATTCCCTAAGCTCCCTAACCCTGAGCTTACTTGGAGACTGTTTATATATCTTTGCTAGCAGGTTGTTGTTTGCTTGCATTTGGAACTTGCACTTTGAGAGGAGGAGCTGAGGTATCAGCCAGCCACACTCAGGGATCAGATGTACAGCAAGCTCTGACCAGTCAAAGGTACATTTCTGTGACACGCTGGTTGGATAATTTCATTCTCTTCTCTGCTTCTGAACCTTTCCTGCAGATTCATGTGTAACTGATTTTGTTAAACGTGTTCAATGGGTGTAAAAGGTCAATGTATGCCGTGTAATTTAGTTCCTGAGCAGTTTACAACATAAAGTATTTGCTCCATTGCTGCATTGTAAGGTCACCTTATATATAAACCATAAGCTGCTTCCCACTGAAATTTCCACTACTAGTAATGTCCTAGTACCTGCAGCATCCTTACAGGAGGTAGAGTGTCCACATCCACTCTGGAGGTGCTGTAGCACCTACGAAATTGCCACCATCAGACTCCAGTTACTTTTCCTGTGAATGTGCATGAACAAAGTGGATTGTGCAAACAGCTCATACCAACTGTCTCACTCACACAGCTACCAGCTTGAGCCTGAACTTCACAACCCAAGAGCTGTTTATCAGCTGGGTCTTATCCCTGTGTTCGTCATCCCTGTTCATCAACATCACTCACACCCCCTTTGCTGGGTAACCCCTGTAAACCCAGGTCCCCTGCCCTGAAGGATTTTGCTCCTCGGTTCACATGCTGCCACAGACCACTAATGGGGTGAAACCATCAGTGCTTCTTCAGGTTGAGGGACCTCTGCAGACACCTCTGGGGTTGCTTATGCACTTGCTCACCCAGCTCTGCACGCCTGCTGGGACTTGAAACCACACTCATCCTCACCACTAGCAGCCCCTGTGCTCTGCTGGAATACCCCACTCCCCAACCAGCCCCATTAGTCACCTCTCCACCAGCTGCCCAGGCTCTCCCTAGGACCTTTTCCCCCAGTGGTACCCAGAAATACCCCCTCCCTTCCACAGCAAGCATGTGGAATACGTGGAAAGCCAAAAAACAGTGAATGAGTCAGCTTGGAGGCTGCCTTCCAGCAGATACAAAGGATGCTTCACAGAGCACCTGAGCTTGGAGCTGAGCAGAAGGCTGGCCCAGCTCCAGGAGCATCCTTACATCCATGATTTTCACTGGATTCTGCTGACCCTGGCTATGAATGGGTAATAGGAATATTTGGTGAGCCCAGAGGCTCTCCATGCATCATGTGCATGCCCTTGGTGGGGTGGGAAGCTCCTCTGTCCACTGCACTGAGATGGGAAGGTGCTGCTGTGTCTGTTCATCTCTGGGGAGAGCTCTGGGTACTAGTGGGTAGCTGGGATTTTAGAAAGGAAAAATGATTTTTCCCAAAGGCTACAAGGGGATGCTGGGAGTTAAATCCCATTAAGCCCTGTTGCTCATTGCATTCCCTGCAGGGGTTGCTGGAGTGGGCTCGCAGCTCGCAGAGAGTCCTGTCACTGTCTAAACTCACTTCACTGCAGTGGGCTGGATCATGTACTTTAGTTAGTGCTATTCCACAGCTGAACATGCTGCCACATCCTGTCCTGAAAAAGAAGGAAACAAGAAAATCACTCAAGTGGCATCATCCAGCCTCTGCTTGAGAAAGCATCTGGGCAAAACTCATTGATTCATCCAGATTTGGAGCAGCGATAACATTTTGCCGGAGTAAATACAATATGCTTATTTATGTAGCCCTCCAGGAGCATCTCTGGCTGCCACATGGGGAAGGTAGGCTGGGAACACCTTCTTGGGGCTTTGCCATCTCCATCTGTTGGGTTGGTCACGCTGAAGCTGTCGGATTTGCCTGTCTTTCTCATGTAGGCAGCAAATGTGCTGTGTGTGGTTCTGCATGAAGCACGTCCTGTCTGTGGCACTGCCACACTGATCTCCTAGCTGGTTGTCCAGGGGGAGTGCACATCTCTTAATCTCAGCCTGCAGGGACAGGCTTTTTCCTGGGAAATGAGGCTTAAAGCCTTGAGAGTTCTTCCCAAGTCTCATAGGAGGTTCCGCTGGGAATTTCCTGTCTTCAATTGAATGTGGAGCTATAAAATGAATATATATATATAATTTCCATTAACCTAGCTGCTTTATCTTGCCAGGAACTATTAGAAGAGAGGAATGTTCAGTTTATTGAAAAGCAAACATCTCTATTTTCACCTTTTGCATTGTTGTTGCAAGGTCACCAAAGAAGCTGGAAAACCTGGAGACTTGAAAAACAATTCTCCTTTCTGATTCTTCATCCAAGCATGTGACATGTTATCGTTGGCCAGTTAAATGGAGGAACAATGAATTATGGATCTTTGTGTCTCTACAGCATCTTCTGGCTGATCTTTACTGCCTTCTCTTAATTTAAAGGACTAAAGTTATGGTTGGCAACTCTTAGAGCAAAACCCAGTGTGGGATAAAAAGAAGGGCCCTTGAACTAAAGGTTTAAGATAGCAGAAGGGTCTGTTGAGAGGTAGTAAATGAGTAGAAGGGGAAGAGGAAAACTTCTGCCAGACCAGCTGTGAACTGGGCTTGGAGGAAACCTTCAGATGGAAGGAAAATGGGGATCTCAGATCAGATGTGGAGGAATTAATAACATTTAAAGTGGGGGAAGAGGGTTACCAGTGAGTTAACTGCTGAAAGGCTTTATGCTGTGCCTGTGTCATTTTACACCACTCTCAGGATATTTGGTGGAATCCTTCTTTTTCACATGCCATAATGATACCAGTGGGGTTAATATTTTCAGATCGAACATGCCAGGTCTCCTACTATGAAAAAATGTTTGCTTACTGAGTACCAGATTTGCTTCTGTAAAGTACTTACAATGTAAATTCACACGGTGTTTCTGACAACTTACACAACTGCGTGTCTCTCACCAGTTACATTATCTGAATCTAATCTCTTTGTGAGTAACTCGCTCACATTTTCTTAGTTCAGTAAATCACATAATCCCAGAATACTTTGTGTTGAAGGGACCTTAAAGCTCCTCCAGCTCCAACCCCTGCCACGGGCAGGGACACCTCCCACTTGGTTGCTCCAAGCCCCTGTGTCCAACCTGGGCTTGAACACTGCCAGGGATGGGGCAGCCACAGCTTCTCTGGGCACCCTGTGCCAGCGCCTCAGCACCCTCACAGGGAAGAGCTTCTGCCCCAGAGCTCATCTCAATCTCTCCTCTGGCAGGTTAAAGCCATTCCCCTTGGCCTGTCCCTACAGCCCCTTGTAAATGAAGACTTGTTTTAACAAACTGCTTCATGTGTAAATGGTGAACAGTAATTTACCCCTGAGATGTTACTCTGAATGTTCAGAGGACTGGGCTGGGACTGACATCAGTTTACAAAGTCACCTCACTGCCACTTCATCCAATCCATAAGACAAAAATAGAATTGTCTTCATTTTACTGTGCGCTGTGACTTAAGGGACAGTATAAACCCCTTCAGTGTTGTTATTTGTTATTGTACACTGCCCTAAAGCAGAACGTTACCAAGGAGTGAGGGAGTCTGAGCAGCATGAAGATGCTAAAAGTTGGAGAGAGAAACCTTTGGTTCTGAGCAGCGCACGCTGGAAAACAGGGCTTCTTGTGCACAGGAAATTTTGTTATTTCAAACTGTGGTTTCAGTCTGAATCAGAACAAAAGGCCACGAGTTTCCAAATTCCCCCTGAGATGGAAATTCTGAGAATGTTGGTTTGGAAACGCTGAAGCAGCGTGTTTGTGATACCCACCTCCCGCCACAGACCTGATGAGCAAAATCAACCTTCTCATCAGCTTGTGGCAAGGCCACCACCAGCTTCCTGGTGGTGAAGGTTTTCTGGATGCTGGAGGTTTCCTGGGGACACCTATGGTGACATCTCAGGAGCTTCTCTGAGGTCTGAGCATTGATCTGGAGCCCTCATCCTTACTGGACTTCTTGGGCATTGCACACCTGAGTCCTTGCCCAAGGAAGTTGTGAATGCTCCATCCCTGGCAGTGTTCAGGGCCAGGCTGGACAGAGCCTTGGGTGACAAGGTCTAGTGTGAGGTGTCCCTGCCCATGGCAGGGGGTTGGAACTGGATGATCTTAAGATCCTTTCCAACCCAACCCATTCTGTGATTCTATGATCAAGTGGTTGAAAGGGCTATGTTAGGAAGATAGGAAGGCAGAAGCTGTTGGCAGGGTAGAAGAACCAGTTTCATTTCTTGCAGAAGGCCCAAACTATTTATGCAGCAGCACTTTGCCTTGCAGCCATGGGCTGCACCTCCCTCCGTATGGTTGGGATGACACCTCTGGAGCCCCTTGACAGAAAGGGTCATAGTGGGTATGGGTATGAATGACACAGCCTTAAAATGAAATTTAGTTAGGGAATATCTTCCCTGAATTACTTGGTTACCCCAAGCCCCTGTGTCCAACCTGGCCTTGAACACTGCCAGGGATGGGGCAGCCACAGCTTCTCTGGGCACCCTGTGCCAGCGCCTCTGCACCCTCACAGGGAAGAGCTTCTTCCTTATATGTAACCTATATGAACCCATCACCCCTTGTCCTATCACTACAGTTACTGATGAAGATCACAGCAGATACCGATCTTTAGGCAACCAGATCAATGTGTAGGTGTTCCCATGCAAGCTGCTGTCTGAGCTCCCAGTAGTCAGTGGAATCCATGGGGTCTGGAAAACTATCCAGACTGGGTTGAATGTCTCTAGACTCCTCCTGTCTCCACTGTGATGGGACCAGATCACATGGAGACACCTATATGAAGGGACATAGGATGATTCATTGCATTGTGCAGGTTGTTTCTTACACTGCAGACCTCTGGAAACACATTTTCTCACACTTGTGTTCCTGGCCATAGCATAGGAGTATGTGTATTACCACCCCTTGGGGAGGGCTAGCATTAAGGGAGCTCCACTGCTCTTAGATTGTAAAAATCTATTCATTTCTTCCATTATCTATTTTGGAGATATCGTTGCCAGAGATCCTCTTCCCTAAATATTTTTAGTTAGCATTTTAAAGGTTAGCTGTGATATTACACGTGTGAAGTGAGCTTTAGCACAGCTCTTTAGAATAAACCTTCCTGTGACATGTTCCTAAGTTTTCAATACTTTCTGTAATGGGAAATAAATCATGTATTTTTATAAGTGTAGATCAATAGCAAGAAGAACAAGCTGCCTTTCAAACACCCAGAACAGTTTATGGTTATAGTTTATTAGTTGTTCCATGCTGAGAAAAATCAAAGTCTACAAACTAAAAATATCAACCATCACATCTCCTGTGAAACTGGTGAGAGCAGCCATGGGGAAAGCTCAACAGCAATGGTGCCCCTTTGGCCACAGCTTCTTCCAGGGTCACCCTTTGCTCCCAGGCTGGGTCCTACTGATTTCTACTTGCTCTCTGCTTGTTGTATTGAAGGCTCAAGCCTCAGATACAAACATTTCCCCTAAGGACCAACAAACCCTTCCAAGAGGTAAAGTACAGCTCAGAAGAGAGTTACAGCTTCCTGACGCAATACATACATACACAGCTTCGGTTCTGGAGGTGACCTGGGCTCAGACTCCCTGTGTAGACACTAACAGCTAGGAAAATTAAACTCCATGAGAGTTGCCCAGCCTGTAACCTGGTATTGCTTACAGGTCCCTTACCAGCAGTGTGTCTCCTTTGATATCATAGAATAGAATCACAGAATCAGCCAGACTGGAAAAGACCTTTAAGATCATCAAGTCCAACCCAGCCCTGCCAAGGCCACCACTAACCCCTGGCACTGAGGCATTGGCTCCACGGGCTGTGAACACTTGCAGGGACGGTGACTCCAGCCCTGCCCTGGGCAGCCTGTTCCAATGCCTGAGCACCCTCTGGGCAAGGAATTGTTCCTCAGCTCCAGTCTAAAGAGAAAGCCCCTGAGCCAAGCTGGCCAGGGAAAGGAAGAACCACTGGAGCAGCAGGAGCCATATAACTCTGCTCTTAAAAACGTGCATGCTAGGAGTAGGTGAAATATTAGCCTTCTCCAGTGAAATACCCTGAGCAGGACAAGCCATGGCAGACTAACTGCAATGCTCAACAGAGGTATGTTAGCATGAAGCAATGTGCATTGATTGAATGAATCAAAAGAGCTCAGTACCGCTGCGTGCAGCCTTCAGAGCAGCTGAGAGGTGTGAAAACCTATCGTCTATCATGTAAATACAGATTGTTGTTTGCTCCCATACAAAATAACAGCATGTAATAGACCATTACACATCCACCTTTATAAAGATATATAGTACACGTAAGTCTTATTCCAACAGGAATAAAAAAAGCCATGGGAGTATAAATATTGAGGCTTTGGAGGGAGAATAACTCAACAGGAATACAAACCTGTAAAATGACACATACACTGTCACAAAATAGAAAACTACAGCAAGAACTCATGTCTCCTGAATTATAAGGAAGGGATTCATCCCATTTTGCTTTTCTCATATGCCAGGTAAGAATCTATAGCTAATCTAATCAATATGGGCATCATTTAGAGTCAATGCAGAGAATCAGGTGCCTTTACACCATGAGTCATTTGGCCTGTATATATACCTATAGCTACATAGCTGTGTGTGTTTATATGCAGCCAGTAAGAATTTCCAGTCCAGTAAGAATTTCAGCTTATGTGCAGAGGGTGAATGGGTTTAATAGCTTTTTCCAAGAGGATATCCAGTAATAGAAGGAGAAAAGAGTGACTGTGTTTGACCCATCTGAGTTGGGATGGGATGGGGGGACACCAGGTGTCCAGCATCTCTCTTTGTGGAGAAGGTGGTGTGTGGGCTGTACTGATGGTGCCATCATCTAACATGCTTGGGCGAGTGGTCCATATGTACGCCTGGTTGCTTGGGAGAGGCTGCAGTTATATTAGCAACACATCTGCTATATGGGAGGAGGAGGAGAGTGGTTTTGGGAAGCAGTTTCAGGCAGGGCTCTTTTCCCATCTGTCAGTGATGGGGTGCTCTCCCTCCACCAGTGCTTGGTAGGTGGAAAGTCCCTCTGTCCCTGTAAGAAATAAGGGGTAATATCTTCTGCCTCCTTCACGTGTTGGAATATGAATGTCCAGGCTTCTTCCTCATTTGCCACTGCTGGTCTTGGAGTCGCTGGTACAATCTGGTTTCTTTTGTGGCAAGTCACAAGTTTCATGAGTTTGGATCTGAACTCTGCAATCTGAACTCTACAGCAGCAAAGAGACTTCACTAAAGCTGGGAAGAAGCACATTTTCTGTGGCTTCTTCTGTATTTACTATAAGAAACCACACAGTACTTTTTTCAGAAGACATCACTTAGGATCTCAGTTACTATTTCATCTGTTATCAGCTATTTTATCATTTGTTCCTCCACAGAACCAGTGAAATATAGACTATTCTTGACAATTTTTCACCTATCATATTCCCAGAAACCCTACAATGGCTCAGGCTTTCTGCCCTATGGTTGACCATCTTCACTAAAACATGTTTCAAACTGCTGTCTACACTTTCTGTGGCTTTATCCTATCGTGAACTGGAATAAGAACACTGCAGATGTGGTTTCACAAGGTCTCCTTTCCTCTTTTTCAAGCAAAATCCCCATTCAACTCAGAAGCAGACCCCATCAGTAATTAGTAAGGAACATGAAAAGTAATAGGGAGGAGGACTAGCAAAGAACTCCCAAATGTCAAACAGAGACATCTTGTATTAAGTAGGCTGGGGAGTCTGTGAAAAGGAACAGCCTTGGTGTGTCTCAGTGTAGTAATAGAAACAGCGAGGAGACTAAAATAAGTGTGAGGCACAAAGCTGTCATGACACGACTGAGAAATCAGGGGGATGAAGGAAGAAAAATTACGTGGTCATGGTGGCAGATGCTCCACCAGCCTTCCCACAGGTTAGCAGGGAGAACAAGACTGATTGTGTAATCTATCTGAAGCCAGCATATTTGCATGATTAACCTTAATTTCCCCACGGCATTCATTTTCCACCCTTTATTTGAGCTGCCATTCTCAATTCCACATCAGCAGGGACCGAGCGTGCTTTTTTGATCTCAAAAGCTCTGATTCCTCCTTTTCTTGTGCCAGTGTTTAATAGCTGAACCAGACAACCCAAAATCAAGGGTCATTTATTTAACGCCAACGAAAGTATTCAGAAATCTAAGCGGCGCACTAGCGAGATGGCTGATCCGGTTGGTAGCTCTTCCACTCCTAGGGAATTTCATGTGAGATTTCACATTTTCCTGGTCCCATCCCACTTACGGTGTTCTCTGCTTGGTGAGTCACATGAAAACAGCAGGAA